GAATGACATATGCCCTGCCTGTCTCAGACGCCTGTTGTGAGTCACAAATAAAGTAACAGATGAGACAGAGCTTTGAGGGTGAAAAAAGCCAGAAAAGCTTCTGAAACAATGTGTCTCAGACTTCTGTGGATGTCATAAAGACGTTTCACAGGGAGACACCCTCGAGACACACATCTGTTGGCAGTTAAGCAAGTGTTTCACAACACAGCGCCTACCTTTGTGACATTGACACACTGTGATAGTTTCTATTATTCTGTGCTATGCCTACTTTTAAGGGCTAGTCATTAAGTGACCAAATGAATGTCACAACTTTCTAAAGGATCTAGATCTGCAGCTAAAACACTCTAAGAATTGCAGCAAGGACAGATTTCAGGCATAGGTTTGCCACCAGCGCCCTCTTCTGGGCAGCTTTATTATAAGCAAAGTGTTGAAACACTTGTTAATTGTCAATATATGTGTGTGAGCACTGAGTCTCACCAGAAAATATATTTATGCCTGTGTCTTACAGCCTAAAAGGTTTCAGAAACAATGCTCAGAAAATTTCCTGGCAAGGAAAGGTCAAGCTAAAAAGGGCATCGTGTGTGTGTGTGTGTGTGTGTGTGTGTGTGTGTGTGTGTGTTTGAGATGCGGGCTCCCGTTTCACTAAGGAGATGACAGAGGCTGTGAAGGTGTTTCTCTGTGATCTCCTCTCCTCCTCCAATCAGCCCCAGAGGAGGGATCTCAGGGACCTGCCCCTGCCTCCCCAGATTTGTTCCCACACCCGGGCTGCCCTTGGCAGAGGGCAGCAGAGCTCACATCTCTGTGGAGAGCAGGGTGGGCTCACTGCAGGCCTCCATGTCATCGTTCATCTTCACTTCATAGGTCTCATCCTGAGATGTCTCCTCCTGACCCACCGTGGCTGTCTGGCTCTCCCGGGAGTGGCACCTACAATATCCAAGAAGAAGAAAAACATCAGGAACTGCCAACCCTCCTCCCCTTCCTTCAGCAAGTAAAGCATCACACACACACACACGTGCATGTATACACACACGCACAAACACAAGCACACATATGTGAACAGGCACACAGTTGCTGGTGCCTTGTTTTCCTGTGATTGCTGATGGGTCCATGGAAGTATTAACATCAGGGTGAGGGTCCCATTTGGGAGAAGGATGTCTACTGTTGATCCAGGGAGATCTAAGTCCTGACCCCAATTCGCTTATCCTCTGGTCCAAGTCGCTTAGCACACCTCATGCCTCAGTTTCCCTTTCTATGAAATTGGAATGACATATGCCTTGCCTTAGAGTCTGCCCCCCACTCACCTCCAGCTATGACACCTGGGTCTTTGGCATTTGGTACAGCTGAGAAGGCTCTGGCATCCTATTTTGATGGTGCCCTTGATTCTGACACTGGCCCCCTGGGGCAAAGGCACAGAGCGGAAGCCTCACCTAGAGGGGTTTGCTCTCCTGAGCAGAGGGCAGTGAGCCTGAGTCCCTGCTGAGCCAGAATCCCTCCTGAGCTCCAGATCCTCACACACTAGGACGTGCCTTTCCCTCCTGGGACAGGGTCTTATGCTCACAGGCCGTGCCTTCTTCAGCTCTGGACCAAGGCCTCTTCCTTTTCCTGTCTAGCTCAGCTCAGTGCCTCCCTCTGTCTTGCTTTCTGCAGACCTTGCATGCTGGGCCCACTTTCTCCTCAGATCCCTGAGAGCATCCTGGTCCATCCTCTCAGAGCTGAGTGCTAGATCAGTGCCCCGGCTCTGAGCATCACTGGCAGGCTAGGAGCAGTTCTCTCTCTTGAGGAGGCCTGCAGATTGCCACCCACCCTGCAATGGGACGGAAAGATGACAGGTGGGAGCTCCAGGAGGACTGGGAGGGGCGGGAGGTGGCGCGAGCTTTGGCGATGGTGTTGAGGGAGGAGTTGGAGGTGCAGGGTGGCAGCAGGCGGGCAACAGCACTTCTGGGGGCCCCGGGCACGGGACCTGCTGGCCCATCCTCAGCACAAGCAACGCCTGAGCTGCCCTTAGCCTTGAGCTGTGACAGAGAGGACAAGGGAGCGGGGATGTGGGCTATGCTCCTCTTCTTCACCAAGCTGAAGCGTGGTGCCCTGTTGTTTGTACTGTCTGCAGTGGGCAGCGGGAACCGACATTTCATGAGCACTGACTATGTGCTGGGCACTGTGCTGGGTGCTTTGTGTGTGTTTTGCTTCATGGAGAGATACATCTGTGGGGACAAAGACATTCCCCAGGGTCTCCTCCCCAGCTCCTCTAAACATCTCTCTCCCCTTATGTCACAGAACAAAGCCTCACAGGAAAATGCCCCTAGAGGGTAGGGATTAATTCACCCTGAGATGCTAAAGATGGACATGGAGGCCTCCTTCAGCAGGGGAGAAGGGGTGTGGGGATCCAGTACTTGAGTCCTCAAAGGCTGTGGGGGGAAGGGGAGTGAGGTTGCAGAGAAGGGTGAGGTCCCCACAACAAGTGCAGGCCCCCAAGACTAGATGCCTAGATTAGATCCTCTCCTCTATAAAGCTAGCCCTTCAGGCCAGCACATCAAATCCAGTGCTGAGCAAGCTGCCCTGAGCACAGAAGGCAGGAGTGCAGACCTCGTGAGTTGAGGGATGCCCCAGTGCTGCCTCTGGGTGGCTAAACCAGCCAACTTGCAGAAAGGAAAGCAGACAGCGGGATGGTCTTTTTAACTTGCCTGTCATCTGACACAATTAAATGCCTGGCCCTAGGGTCTTGCATGCAGCCACTTGCAAATGGGCCCTCTTCGGAGGATGCTCCTTGGATGGACACTTTTCCAGGGGTTTAGTGAGAAGCTTCCACTTCTCTTACTATTTTCTGAGCGGGAGGGCAGGCATGTCAGGAAGCTGACATGCTGAGGCGCTGTGCTGCCGGCTGGGAGCCACTGTCCTACTCTGGAAAAGCAGCATAGTTAAGTACGACTAGGCACCTCTCTCAGCCCCACCAGGGAACCCTGGAGCTGCTGATGCTGACAGGGAAGAGCCCTGCAGGGGCCCAGGGTGGGAGGGAAGTCCCACCATCCCAGCATGTCAGAGCAGTGCATCCTAGCGCACACGGGATCGGAGGACAAGGAGAAAAGACTGAGCAGGGTGGCCAGCCTCCCGCTTACCTCTGGGAGCTGAGCTTCCACGCCACCTCCTGCACCCGGATGGCAGGGGACAAGGGGGGCCCATGGCCCTCCACAGTGCTGACCGTGCTGGGGTGGCCGGCGGGGCGGGGGAGGCGGCCCAGGGCGGTGTTGTTGGCATTGTTGATGTTGGCGTTGGAACCGGTGGACGAGTAGCTGCTGGGGGTGAAGGTGGAGTCCACCAGCTTCTCGTGGGAAGGCGACTCTGTGTCGCCCTGGCTGCTGCCTGCCTTGTTGATGTGAAGCGGGCGCTGAGTGGTGAAGGTCTGGGGGAAGGCGCTCCGGCTGTCACTTTGGTAGTAGCTGACGTGGTTGCCGAACAGGCCACCGGCCCTCTGTAGGCAAGAAGGACAGGTGGGTGGAGGAGAAACCCCTCAGTGTCCACTCCTCCCAGCGAGCAGCTTCCACAGCCAGGCCAGTGGAACGAAGGGCCTGGGAAGGTGGGCTGCCTTCCTTTGGGGAGACACAGCCCTGCTGGGAGCCAGGAGCTCCTGAGGACCTTCTTCGTGCCTGGCTGCTCCAGAGTGGGAGGGACCCACAGTCTCAAGGCTCCGGGCTCCCCTCTGTGGCAGCTGGGAGAGCCCACACACTGGTAGGGACGGGATTGTGCAAGGGGCTGCAGCTGGTACAAGCTGCCCTGGAGGTTTCCAGTGAAGTCCCTGAAGGCTGGGAGTGAGTTTCCAGGGCACGTCTAGGACGGCGATCCCTGAGAGCAGCCAGCACACCACGAGGGTGGGGGCTGTGAAAACGACCAGAAGATTCTAACCAGATTAAAAATAAATAAATCCAATGTGCTCACAGAGCTAAAAGCTGTGTCGGCCAAACGGTTTTGAAAATGAGGGATTTCCTGCATGATGCTCTTTTCACCCTCAGGGATTCACAGATAGTTAAAGCCAGGAGCCAGTGTTTCCCCCCAGTATCTTTGCCTTGTCCTGGGGAAGTGGGTAAGTAGCTATTTGCAAGGTTGCAACCTTCGACATCAGAACATCCCTGGGCCTTGGTGACTGAGCCTTTGATTTCTGGGGTCTTGTCAGGTGGTGTCACAGTCATGCCATGTCCCTGAGGCTACTCAGTGACGAATGTCTGCGGTGATGAGGATAAGGATAAGGAAGAAAAGGAGTAGGGGCAGGATGGGCTCGGCTTGCCCCCTGTGTGTTCCACAGCCTGGGAACTGGGCCCTGGGCTGGGAGTGGCTGTGAACAGGGCCCTGCACAATTATGACTGGCAGCTGCTCCCTTGCTGTAGGAGGAGTTTTAACCAAATACCAGCGGGGTGAGGCAAGTGACACAAGTGAGTGATAAATGCCCCTTATTCTGTGGTACAGCTGTGTTTAATTTTCACTACTGCAACTGCTGGGCAGCTTCAGTCTCCAGGAAGGGAGAGGGAAAGGGGAGGACTGGAGGGGCTGGGAGACCCGGAGAACACAGGCTATGCTCCATCTCAAGGGGCAGCTGCCGTGAGGCTCCAGCCCTCTGCTGCCCTGCTGGAATGTAAGCTCAAAATTGCAGGTCTCCTGACTTTTCCAAGGAATGCCAGGAGTCTTGATTTTGACCTGAATGTGCCAGATTTTCAAATAGTAACAGACCAAACAAGCCTGCAGATTAGACATGCCCAGGGGTGACCATTTATAACTTCTAACGTAGAAGTTTCTCGTCTCCTAGGAAACATTTCCCTAGGGAAGACACTGCGAAATGCCATTTCCAGGGAGCCCTGCCTTGGGATGGAGTCAGGCTTGGAAAAGGCAAAGGGGTGGGGACACAGCTGATCAGGAAGAGCCTGGAAGTGGCCCTGTCCTCTGGTGCAGCTCTTTCCCCTGGACATTCTCCGCAAAACCCTGCCCACCCTCTTGCTCCAAACTGAACTTCATAGAGGTTGAGAGGGCGCCATGGCGCCACCCACCCTGAAGATGTCATCTTCAGAGGCAGCGGACACAGCCTCCTTCATGGCCTTGTCCAGCTCCTCCTCAGCAGTGAGATCTCCAGAGATGGCCCGTCGGATCTCAGGCCCGATGTCATGCAGCGTGCGCAAGCCAGCCTGGAACCCAGAGGGAGGACGGTGAGGACCGCGCTCTCTTTCCTCCGAGCTCCCCAGCCACCCACAACCCAGGGCCCAGGCCTGTCCCTGCAGGGCCCTGGCATCCTCCACCCAGCCAGCTGACCCTCTAGAAGGTTTGCCTGTGTGTGAACCGGGGGCTGGGCTGCCCTCTGCTGGAAGAATCCATTTGCCCATCCAGGAGGCATAAAGTCTCATTAGAAGGGGGTCCCAGGGGTCAGGGGCTGTCATGGGAGCCTCAGTGAAGTGCTCAGAGCTCTGGGGGCTATGACAGCAGGCAGGACCATGGAGGGCAGTCAGTGATGGCAGGTGGGGAAGCGCACATCACCCCCTTCTCACAGCCATCTTTGGAAAGGTCTGGAGCTCTCTGAAAGGTTCCCTCTGCAGGGACCTGGCCTCCAGCTGCTGGGGAGGGACCAGGACCCTGACTGGAGGTTAGAGGCAGTGACCAGGACCTTCCTGGAGTGTAGGCCCACCCCCAGACCCTCACCTGCAGAGACAGCGCGTTCCTCTGGGAGGGCTTGCCCACAAGGCCCTGCTCTTTACGCTTCTTGAACTTCCGGAAGTACTCCTGGATCAGGAACGTGGCGTAGAACTTGCCAACGGTGACCTCATCATCTGAGACGTATGGAGAGGGGAGAGGGGGTAAGAGGGGAGCAGGGGAATTCAGTTGCACTTCATCCATTTTTTTTCAGCATCCAAACTTTCTTTAACTTTTTAGGTTTAATTTTTTTGGAGAGGTAGTACATTCACATGGCTTAAAAAGAGAAAAAAATATATAAAAAGGCTTATAGTGCAAAGTGTTTCCCACCATAGCCCTTATCTGCCTAGTCGCCACCTCCTTGTGGATTATCTAGTTTCTTGAGGATTTTCTCAGAGAGTCTTAGTGCAAATTATTTCTGTAAATTGACAAACATATTCTTATCCCCCTTTTTTTTATGGAAAAGGTAGACTATTATCAAAATTATTTTCCACCTTTTTTTTTTAACTTCACTGATATTTGCTAACTCTTACTTAATTCAAAATTTCAAATGTCCCGCATCAATTGGCCACTCTTCCAAATGCAAGTGCCACACAGTTCTGCTTAGGTTGGAGGGAGGGGTTGGTGGAAGGAGGGCCTTCTTTCCATAGAAGTTCAGATTGTTCTTTCAAACCAGATTGGGTTTTTGTGCCAGGTGGCTTGGCTGCAGCCCTGCTGGGCTGGGTGTCCAAGATTACATGTGACATCCTCAGTCCCTGTCCTGGGAGTGAACCTGATGGTGGAGAAGCCATAAGTTCTCACAGGAAAAAATTCATGCCTGTAAAGAATCTCTTGGTTCTTTGTCAAGAAATGCAATGGGCCCAAGAGACCGCTGGGGATTAGATCTAGGGGCTGGTGAGGGTTCTTTTTCTCCTGCCTGTCCCTCAAAAATAACCAAATCCATAGCAGAGATGACCCCCACTTCTCTGGCGAGGGCCGCATTTCCAAGTGGGAGGGAAAACCCAGGGTCCCCTGCCCAGTATAGTCAGGAAGGAAGAACTGAATGGTGGGACACGCTGGGAGTCTTAGGTTTCCTGGGCCTGGGTTTGAATCCTGAATCTGCTCTGGACTCTCCAGGTAACCTTGGGTCACCATCTCAGCTTCTAAGAACTTTAGTTCCCTGAGCAAACCTCACAGAAATGTTGTCAGGATTCAATAAAATAATGCGTTTGAAACATCATGTGGCACTGGCCTTCTTAGGGGATTTTCACTTAGCCCAAGTCTGGCTTTCCCTTGGGCAAGTGGTTCTCAACACAGGTGGTGTCACCTCTTAAGGAACGCACAGTAAATGTGTAGGATGGTTTTTAGTTGTCAGGGTGCTGCAGGGTGCCATCAGGACTAAGTAGCTCCAGACCTGTCCCTTAAAGTGCAGGCACGTCTTGCAATCACAGCTTTGCACTCTGCATGGCTTTCAAGCCTATGCCACACATCCACGATTCTGTTCATGACTCCCTGAGATCAGAACACAATTTCATTTTGCAAATGAACATAGGACTGTTTTTTTGCACGGTTTTAACATACCTGAAAATTTCCAGGAATACAACTGTGTAAATTGATGAAAACTATACTTTGGGTTATTTGAACTTGGCCAAGAGAGGTTTGCATTTTTGAAAACTGCATTCCTGATGGTGATGCTCTTTGTGGTATCTGGATCACCCACCATAAGCATTACATCACGGTTATTCAATGTGTAAGGATGTGTGTGTGTTTCTGTGTGTGGGACTATTTATTCACATACTTATTTAATAAACTTATTTACCCTTTATTTCAAAATGTCAAATACAAAATGTTGACAACATTCAGTATTGTCATATTTCCTGTAAACCCAGCCATATGTGCTGTAAGTGGGTACATGAGAAGATGTCAGCAGTTAACTGTATCTTCTAGTATGGTTATGCCTGAGTATTTACATGTTAAAAACATCTGCTTTTAAGAGACTTTATATTAGAGTGAAGACATTATATTAATTTATTATACATGTTATATGTTAGTATTAATATATTATAGAATTATATTAATATTTGGAAATTATATGTATAAGAAAGTTATATTACCTATAATTTTCATTCGGGATCATATAGTAAAGGCAGTATAAACTCTTTGCTATAAAAAGGGACTTGGAGCTTGATAGGGTCAAGAAATACTGCTCTTGGAAGAACAAAAAGAATTTCATCCAAGAGGGGAGGAATCTCAGGGGATTCTTATTTCAGGGCCTTAGAGCAATCCTACAGCAATCAGGTTCATGGGAAACCTATACCTTGTGGAGTTTCCTTAGAAGTTCTGCCAAACCCCCAAGCGTGAAGGGACTCGCCTGATCCCCTATGTAAAAAGCAGAGTCGCACCAGATTTCAGACCTGACATTCTGTTTCTGAGTTTGTGCAGGGCACTGTACCTTCGTCTCTTCTAACCAATAGGGCCTTTGAGCCTTGCAGGAAGGGTCTGAAGGCAGACCTCCAGCAAGCCTAGGGGACTCAAGAAGCAAGTCTCATGGGATGCTTCTGCATTCTAAGAGTGCCACAGCTGGAGGAGAGGCAGGCAGAGGAAGGCACAGCCAGGCAGTGGCCAAGGTACGGGAGTCCAGGGAGCACTCACCACCTGCAGGGGGCACCACCTGGTCCAGCAGCTTCATGCTGGTCCGCTTCCAGATCTTCTTGATGATGGCCCGTAGCTCCTCGTTGGCTTGTTCTAGGTTCCCTGCAGAGCGGAAAGGATCCTCAGCCCCTGGGTGGGCCTCTGATGGGCTGGGTCCCTCTGCGTAAGGTAGGAAGCCACAGATGGTGGCATCTGCCCCACGCAACCCTGACTCATCAGTTTCTCTTTTGCTTCACTTCTCCCCAGTCTTCCCATTTTCCACCTCCTTTCTCTTCCCCTTCCTCTCTCCACCTTCCTTCTTTCCCCTTTCCCTCTCCTGCACTGTCCAATGCCATCCCTCTCCCCTTCCCCCTGCCCGTGGCTCAGGCCAGCCAGGGGGCCCTCTGCTGACACTCAGTGCTCTTCCTTGGGGGCTGAGCCTAGCCCCCAGGCAGCAATAATGGCAACCATGTGCTCAGCAGCTGGAACACGCATGGCCCTGCCATGGACAGCGGAGGACAGCTCCCCATGGGTGGCATTTCTCATGGACCTCCTTAGGCAGCCACAGGGGACATGGATGATTGGAGGGTACATCTGTCAATGAGGGCCCTGTCCTGGGTTCCCCTACTTAGATGCCTGTCCCATGCAGCCTCTGGGGTACTGGCTTTACAGAGGTGTAAAAGGAAAGCTGAGACCTACAGCTGTGAGCAGATGTGGAGGTGGGATTCTAAGATGCTCCACACCGGGGCACACATGCTGCCAAAGCCCTGGGCTCCTGGCCATGATAAATTTTTCTCCTGAGAATAGGTTATATGGCACACAGCACCTATGGCCTAAGACAGAGAGGTCAGGCGGGCCTGACCCAGTCAGATGAGCCCTTGGAAAGCAGAGTTCTCTCCAGCTGGCCTGGAAGAAAGCAAACACTCATGTGGGCTGAACTAAGAGAGGCAGCCTCTAGGAGCTGAGCGGGTCCCCAGCTGTCAGCCAGCAGGAAAGCGAGGACCTCAGACCTACAATCGCAACAGATGAATTCCACCAACAACGAGATCTCCCCCACAGCCTCCAGAAGAGACCATGGCCTGATCAGTATCCTGGATTTGCCTTATGAGAGCCCAGCTTCACCACTGCTGGACTTCTGACCTGCAAACCGTGAGCTAATAATGGGGTGTCTTTTTAAGCTGAAAAGCTTGTAGTAAACTTGTTTCACAGCAGTAGGAATGTTTCACATTCAACCACGATACTGGACTGCTGGTCTTACGTGAGAGCAGTAGGGGATGTTTACTGCTCTAGCATAGGACCAGCAGTCCAGTATCATGGTTGAGGGCTCTCATGTCAGACTGCCTGCGTTCAAGTCCACCTCTGGGGCCACAGGGCAGAGCATGCAGAGGTGGCAGTGGAGTGAGTGACAGAATCCCGAACTCCCTGAACTTCAGATCCAAACAGGACCTGAAGGCAAGGGATGACTCCTGGGCCTACCAGCTATGCAGGCGATCAATCCCCTTCATGGGAGAGGCAGCTGGAGGTTTCTGACAAGCAGTGAAAGATCCTGACACACATGGTATTCAAATATACTTAGCTTCAGCACTGGGCCAAATAGTGTCTTTCCAAAATTCATGTCTGCCTAGAGCTTGGGAATGTGGTCTCAGTTGGAAATAGGATTTTCACCAATGTAATTAGTTAAGATGAGGTCACCCTGGATAAGGGTGGGCCCTGAATGCAACGTGGCTGGTGTTCTTATAAGAAGAGGAGGGGACACAAGACCCTAGAGGCTATGTGAAGATGAAGGCACAGATGGCATGATGCTGCTGTGAGCCACCAGGCATCGTCCACAGCCCTCCGAAGCTGGGAGAAAGGATGGAACAGATTCTCCCCAGAGCCTCCAGAAGAAACCAACCCTGCTGATATCTTAGTTTTAGACCTCTGGCCTCTTAAACTGAGAGAAGAATTTGCTCTTGTTTCAAGCTGCCCAGTTTGTGAACATTTGTTACAGCAGACCTAAGAAATTAACACACTTTCCAAAAGGACTTTTCATTGTTTTAAAAAATCAGGCCTTAGTTTATCTTCATAATGGTCTATGTAATTGTGGAAGTTCACTGACAATTGTTTCATGTCATCTAAGTATTTTTTAGTATTTTCCTTCTATATTTCAAGAGAAAAGCTTGTTTGGCTTGGTACTGGACTTGGGGTGAGAGCTCTGGTTCTCGGAAGTAGGAGTTAATTTCTCCCCAATTCCTGCCACTCTGAGACGTCTGAAGGGTGAGGACTGATGTAAGCCTTATCTTCACAAACGTAGATGTCTTCTGACATTTCTTTCTAGTTGCTTCTAAGACTTGACTTTGTCTTCCTTTCTTAAGATCTTACCAAGTTTGTGGAGGGTCTGTGTCTGATGAAGGTTCACCCTTGGGTGGGGCCATTACAGGCCCCTTTGGAAGCTGTTCTGAAATATTTCTGTGTTTAAAAAGATAGTCCTTAGTTCTTGACATGATTGTAGTTCCCACATGGCTGGCTTCTCTCCTTTTCTCTGGAACTCCTATTTCCTCAAAACTGGGCCTCTGCATTTGATTGGTCAGTCTTTTGCATTGTTACTAGCTACTGGTCTTCCTTAGCTGGCATGTGGTTTGCTTTGACAGTGAACCTTCGACTCTGCTGAATCCTTGCTTCCGTACTTCCCTGCCTGTTCTTCCTCTATGGAGCAGAATCTTACATCCGTAATTTACATCAAGCTTTAAGTATTACAGCATATTCCTCCTGGCGGCCATCATACTGTCTCTCTTTCCCTTTGAACACAGGGTAGTAATACTCTTTGTAGAAAATTTGGAAAGTAAAAAAACTAAAGGAGAAAGGTAGAAGTCACTGCCTGACCTTTCTACTCATGACAATCAATATTAACATAGTAACACATTTTCTTCCCAGTTTTCTTCTGTGTTATGTACACATGTGTGCATAAAATGTGTTTTGGCTGGGTGCAGGGTAGCTCACGCCTATAATCCCAGCACTTTGGGAGGCCAAGGCTGGCAGGTCATGAGGTCAGGATATGGAGACCATCCTGGTCAACATGGTAAAATCCTGTCTCTACTAAAAATACAAAAATTAGCTAGGCATGGTGGCATGCTCCTGTAATCCCAGCTACTCAGGAGGCTGAGGCAGAAGAATCGCTTGAACCAGGCAGTTGGAGGTTGCAGTGAACCAAGATTGCACCACTGTGACAGAGCAAGACTCAGTTTCAAAAAAAAAAAAAAAACGTGTGTTTTAGTTTTCTGGTAGTCAGAAATCAGCCTATGTACGCCCATTTCAGATTGAGTGATTGCACTGGCTACTGATGGTATTTTTTTTTATCCTTTGCTTTTTTTTTTTTTAGTTTAGTAGCAAAACTTGTCCTATTTTTATTTGTAATTTAATTTGATTTTATTTTTTCAGACAGTGTCTTGCTCTGTTGCCCAGGCTGGAGTACAGTGGCACAATCTCAGCTCACTGCAACCTCCATCCAACTCCTAGGTTCAAGTGATTCTCCTGCCTCAGTCTCCCGAGTGGCTGGGACTACAGGCACCCACCACCATGCCTGGCTAATTTTTGTATTTTAGTAGAGATGGGGTGTCACCATGTTGGCC